AGAACACCTGTCAGGTTTTTATTATTGTCTGTGTCCCCGTTATGGAAATTCAACCTCTCTATTTGTCTTGTTTACTGTTATGACTGAGAGTGGAAGCAAATTTTAAAATTTGGGTTGTCAGCAGAGCAGGAAGAAAAGGAAAATCTAGAACATTAGTTCTGGTGACAACCAGGAATTCCCTCTCTTTGGAGGGTTTCCTCTCACTTCCTTGGAATGCAGATAGTTGACTTATTTCAGAGGTGGCTAAATGCTGCCTCTGGACTTAGCAACATGCTGGGCTATGGCCATATACTGTACAAACTGTCCAATTAGCTGCAGCCAGTTTGTCTGTGGTCAAAACTTAGCAAAAACACTGGCCCATGATACCGGCTACATCTAGCGCCAGTCAGAGGCTCTATTTGCATTTAACCACTCAGATGAGTGGTTACATGCAAACAATGGCAACACCAGGTATTGATTTGTACAGAATTTGCTGCATTCCGAGATGGCTAAGCAATGCCTTTGGACTCAGCAACACCCTGGGCTATGGCTACATATAAATTGGCTGATTGGCTGTAGCTAGTTTGTCTGTGGCCAAAACATCCAGCCTGGACACTGGCTGCATCTAGTGTCGGTCAGAGGCTCTATTTGCTATTTAACTGCTTAGATGAGCAGTCATATGCAAACAGTGATAATGCCAGTTATTGATTTGTACAGAGTACACATCTAAGAGCCGCAGCTGTTTGCACAGTGTGCAGGCAGTATTTACAGCCACTAGCAGGAATCTGATTCTTGCTGACAGATGTCCCTGGCTGCTGATATTCAACCATGGCACCGTAGCCTTACTCTTGCATTGAGGCTTACCCCCTTCCCCTGCACCTCAATGGTTAAAAGAGAAGTGAGGGATTTCAAAATAATAATCATTCATACTCACCTGGGTGGATGCAGCACCAATCCGATGCTGCAGCTGTCCCCCGCCACCTCAATTCTGAGAACTGGGTGATGAAAGACCATTGATGGTCCAGTTCTCAGGTCTGTTCTGTCAGTGGCCACTCTATGCTCTTCCCCTCCAGCATTCATTGGAGAACCAGCCAGGAAAGGGGGGTGGCTGGCTCAGGATCCCAGAAGCACAGTGAGAGGCTGAGCCAGCTGCCAGTAAGGTATGTGGGTGGATCCTGACATTATTGTTGGGATTCCTGCAGAGCCTCCACCTGTGAGAACCCCAGCAGGGGTTCCTGTGATTAGCTGTGGGAGACAGTGCCATTGAAAACAATGGGAGACTGCCAATTCTCGCACCTAATCACAGCCATTAGCATGTAAATCTCTCATGCAGCAAACACAAGTGAGTGATTGGCCATGGAAGCATGCAGTCTGTGTCCAGGGCCGATCACTTGCATGAAATCACTGCTTGAGAGATTACATGTTAGGCTCCATGCACACGGGGCGTTTTAATAACACTGGTAATGTTAGCCGTGTAAAGTCACGTTAAAAACATGAGTTTTTCAGCGTTTTTTAGCACTTTTGTATTAGCGTTTAGCCGCTTTATTTTTTAAGGGGTTTTTTTTACAAAAAAAAAAATTTTTAGTTGGTCAAAAAAACCTCAAAAAAATGTACCACGTTTTACCATGTTTTTCAGCGTTGGAGCGTTTTTACAGCTAAAAAACTCCTTTAGAAACCCACTAGTCCTGGGGTTTTTTTCCAGCCAAAAAATGCCCCTGCCAAAAAACAGTCTGTGTGCATGGACACATAGGATAACATGCTGGGGAGTTGACTGGCTGCAGAAAAAAAACCGTCAAAAGCCAAAAACAGCAGCTGTAAAAACGTCCAGTGTGCATGAGGACTAAGTCGGCAACCTGTCATTGTTTTCAATGGTGCTGACTCCCATAGCCAATTGTGGGAGCCCCTGCTGGGCTTCTTGCATCTAATCAGAGTGTAAGTGCATTTCCAAGCATGAATGTACCCTAAAGCTAGGTTCAAACCTATGCCGTTTGTGTTTGACCTGTTTCTGCGCTTTTAAAAAATTGTTGTTATTGCTAGACAGATTTAAATGCGGCAAAAATGAAGCATAAACGCACTACATGCTTTTCTGCAGCATTTCCATTGAAGTCTATAGAACCAAAAACACAACTTTTTGCATTCAAAAGAGTCTCTGGCCCTTTCCAAAAAACGCACCAGGTGAAAACGTGGAGATGTGAACGTGTCCCATAGGAAATCATGTTAAATGGACTGTAGTGCATTTCTGGAAAACGCTTAGGTGTGAACCTAGGGTAAGGGCTCATGTACACTGCAGCTGATAAACTCACGTTTAGTTGTTCAGTGCTTTTTTTTCAGCAGCCCCTGAACTCTCCCTAATGTTTTCCTATGTGTCCATGTACACATCGTCGTTTACAGACATTTTTTTTGAATACAGAAAACTTGCGTTCAGCAGTCGATTTTTATCAGCTTTTCAAACGCAAAATACTTGTAAACACTTGTAAACGCGGCAAATTGCGTTTAGAAGCGTTTGCATCTGAAAATGTTTTTTTAACTCTTCCATTTTCCGATGCTCTCCAGAGCCTTTTTTCATCATGAAAAATGCATGCAAAGTTTTCAAGGTACTCAAATGGACAAAACACTGAACTCAGGATGTTCCTACCAAGCTTGTCACACATTGTAATGACCAATTCACACCTCAGACCTCTCCCACCCTTGGAAACAAAAGATATGTTACTGACCATTCACACTTCAAATTCCTCATGAAGACCCCTGCCAGGTGACCTTAATGACTCACTCCACCAGACACCTTTCCCACCCTTGGAAACAAAAGAAATGTTAATGAGCAACTCATACCTAAGCTAAGCTCAACACATACTGCTGTCTCTGCTTCTACTCTCTGTATTACTCTGAAATAGTCTGAAATAGTTAACAATTTACCACTTTTTAGTGCATTCTGGGCATTTGGGAGGTTCTCCTGTGCTTATCTTTAAAAAAAACACTTCTAAACGCAAACGCACATAAACACGGCTAAACAGACTTTTTTTGACCTACGTTTTCCAGCAGTCAGTTTCCATCGTTCAGAAGTGTCCCGTGTACATGGGGCTTTACAGCTTGGTTCTGTCTGGGAGAACCATTATAAAACACCTTTACTTACCTTATCCCTCGCTCCCTCGGCTGCCAGCGCTCTCCTCTTCCTTCCGACGCTCTGGCTTGTGGGTGAGCGCTCAGCGTCCTGATGACGTCAGAGTGTGACCCATGGATTGGGCACCAAACAGAAACATCTTTGGGGTACCGATCGCATGGAGAGGTGGAGCCTGCAGGAGCCAGAGCCAAAGTAAGTCAAATTCTTATCTAATGGTGCTGCAAATACAAGCATTTAACCCTTGCAGTGCAGGGGGTGCACCTAAAGGGTAGTTTGGGATTTTTCTCCTAAGTTGTACTTTATACGTCATTAGCAGCAGGGTGTCCCTGGAAATGATCATATGATGCTAACAGAAACGTTGTCATAACAACTCACAGCCTAGCTGCATACTTCCTGTGAGCACACAGCGGTTTTCTGTTCATTGTAGTGCTGACAGAGGAGCACACATGGTACTAGAGGGCTCACAGCCGGGAGAATAATGTGTAGCTGTAATCCAGCCAGCCCCGGTATACTGTGCCCTCCACACACACCACACCACACACACACCACACACACCGGGGGGCGCACGGGTTACCTCATGAGCTGGGACTTACTAGCATTCGCTTGGTTGTAGCAGCCGTTCCCATAGATACAGACATTATAATCCGATAGGCTCCCAGAGGAACACGTGACCCGGTATTAGCAACGTCTCCATGGAAGCCGGATAATGACGTCCGGTACACGTGGCGTCCATCTTTGTTCGGGGAAATGCCAGGCTGTGCTTTCTCTCTCTTCTTTTAATAAGAAACATGCTATTGCATTCCAACTGTCATTTGAAGTTATGAGTTGAGGTGTAATCACACTGAATGAATATGGAAGTAAGTATATGAGCGCTAGGTAGAATGGAATGAGCAGCTGGCATTAACGGTCAACCTCCAACCCTTATACACATAAATAAACAGAACACTAAATGAATGTCTTAGAATGATAGAATGACTCAACATATTGTTAAAGTGGAGTTCCACCCAAAAGGGGAAGTTCCGCTTTAAAGATTAGTCCCCCGCTCCCCATTAAGGATTGGCACCTTTGGGGAGCGGGTACCCAAATTTGACAGATACCCACTCCCACTTCTGCTGCGATCGCCTAGCAATTGGAAATGGAAGTTGTCCTCCTACCCTCCCTCCCTGAAGTCTTGTGGGACACGTGACAGGTCCCAGAAGACTACGGGGCCATTCATGAAGCGCATGCGCAGTGGGCACCTGGCTGTGAAGCTGCAAGCTGTCACAGCCGGATGCCCACACTGAAGATGTAGGACAGCCGGTGAAACGGGCTGCAGCGGGGGCAATGCGGGATCCTGGGGACAGGTGAGTGGCTGTTTTTTTTAAAAGTCAGCAGCTACAGTTTTTTTACAGAGTGAGCGGAACTCCGCTTTAATTCTCTCATCTACTCAAACTGTAGTTGGGCTTTAACCACTTGCCCTCCACAGGATTTACCCCCTTTCTGACCAGGCCATTTTTTAGCGTTATGGCTCTTTAACTGACAATTGCACAGTCATGCAACATTGCACGCAAATTAAATTTATGTCTTTTTTTTTCCCACAAATTGAGCTTTGTTTCGATGGTATTTGATGGCCTGTGCGGTTTTTTATACTACAAAAAAAGAACATTTTGAGAAAAAAACAATATTTTTGAGCTTTTGTTATTAAACATGTCCAGTAAAAAAATTGAAAGCATCAAATTTCATCATAAATTTAGTCCAAAATGTATTCTGCTACATGTCTTTGCTAAAAAATCCCAATACATGTAAATTAATTGGTTTTCCTGAACGTTTTAGCGTTTACAAATGGCGGTATATATATACTGGGATTTTTATTTACATTTTTTATTTTTACTAGTAATGGCGGTGATCAGCGACTTATAGAGGAATTACGGGACTGTGGCGGGCATTCTGACACTGGGGGAACTGACTTGGTGTCACTAATATCCACAGTGACACCAATACAGTGATCAGTGCTATAAGAAAAAAAGCACTGACACTGTACTAATGACACTGGGCAGGAAGGGGTTAACATGAGGGGCAATCAAAGGGTTAACTGCGTGCTGAGTGCTGTTTTACTCTGTGCTGCGTCCATGTGCTTCACTGTAAGCACACTGCTTTGCATGGCTGTGCTGTGCACAGCCATCCAAAGCAGTGTGCACAAGCTGACAGAAAACTGTTTTGTTTACATACAGTTCTCCCCCCTTTGGAGAAGCTCGGCAATCACCGGCCAGGACCCGTTGATTGACAGCCGCAGACACTAATGACGCGCCCCCTACCCGGAAATGCAAAATCACGTATATATCTGCTATAGGGCGGTTGGGAAGCGGTTAATTGTGGTATAAATGATGTGTGTTCTTATTTCACCCACAGTATTTGTACTATAAGCCCGAGTTCACACTTCTGTGGTGCGGCACATCGCATGTGATTTGCATAGGAACCGCACTGCATTCCTGTGCAAATCACATGCAATTTCTGTGCGGTGCAATTTGAGCCATACATTTTGTATGGCTCAAATCGCAACACATCCGCACCAAAAGTGCAGGACCCTTTTTTGTCCGCACTAGAATCGGATCGCATGGGTGTTCACACCCATGCAATCTGATTCTGCACATTGCACCACGTTTTTCAAACTGATTTTGGGGTGTCATTAAAGTACACACCCTCAGCGGTTCGTATGAACAGGGTGCGATTATGATGTGGTGAGGAAATCACACAGAAACCGGTGCGAATTCCACACCGCAGCAGTGTGAATCCAGGCTTATGTAATTGTATTTTCATAAACTTATTGTAGAAAACTGCATGAGCTGGAAGTTTTATGTCAGCACCTTCTTCAGTCCTGTAATAACATTTCTACCAGGTTGCATTGCTTCCAACCAGGGATGAGCTGCGCTGATTCACACATGTGCGGTGCGGATTGACACCCCGGTCATAACAAGCCAGACTCTGAAATCGTGCGACTTACAGCGAAGTCACAGGATTTCAAAGTTGGGGGACATGCCGATTTCAGGTGCGATTTGCTAGATATCTGACACAGATGTCTATGCAAATCGGTGCGGTTCCGACCTGGTTTGACCAATGTAATTGCAGACAATAGGGTGCAACTTGGCATATGATTTGCAAGCTAATTGATACAGTAGTTGTTCGCAGGTTCACGTAAGTGCCCGTTCACATATATGCGGATTGGATGTGGTTTGAACCACATCCAATCCGCCTGACGTGAAAAAATATTGCTTCCTATGGTGCCTGTTCACATATGTCCGGTGCACTGGCAGTGCAGATGCGGTGCGGTTTGAAAAAGAGTCATGTCTGATTTCTGAGAAGTGCCTTCAGGTTCAGGTGCAGATCAGAGGCTATTGACTTCTATGGGAAACGTTTCTAAACCGCATATGTGTGAACAGGAAAAGATCCTAACCTAATCCTGTCCTGGACCTGATGTAAACCTGACATGAACCATTGAACAACTACTGTATCAATTAGCTATGAAACCTGAGCTTCAATCCGCACCGCACATGTGTGAATCAGCTCTAAGGCATGTTCAGATAAAAGTCTGAGCCCACTGCCAGGAAGCTGTCACTGTCGACAGCCAATCATAAGTGGCCAAAGCATTCTCTGCCCCTGCAGTTGCACATATACACACCTCTTGTATGACCACTTCAGCTCTGGAAGATTTACCCCCCCCTTTCATGACCATAGCATTTTTTTTGCTATTTAGCGCTGCACTACTGTAACTTGTAATTGCGCAGTCATGCAACCCAACCAAAATTTGCATTTTTTTTTTTTCATACAAATAGCGCCTACAAACTATGGTATATATAGTGGATTATTTATTTATTTATACTACTTATGGTGGTGATCAGTGACTTATAATGGGACTACGATAGTGCAGAGGGTGATCTGACACTAACTGACTCTGGGGGAACTGATTAACTGCCACTGATATTACTAGTGACATTAATACAGTGATGAGGGAAAATATTATACACTGTCACTGTACTAATGACACTGGCTGCGAAGAGGTTAACATCTAGGGTGATGAAGGGTTTAAATGTGTGCCTAACTATTTGTAAAGTGTACTGCGTTACTAAGAGACCTCTATTAGCAGGGATGAGAGACAGAGAAATAGTTTCCTGTGTACGGCGTTCTGTGTTGATTGTCAACACAGAGCTCTGGGCTGAGATTGTACACAGCCGATCAGCAGGTCCCGGTCATAAATCATTGACTGAGACTTGCTAGCAGGCTTCCGCTGTGTAGGTGTCAGCTGTAAGGTGCGCAGGCAGTAACGTACTGGTAAGATGCTTTGCCTACAGCAGCTGCCCGTCCACAGTACATTGGGGGTGGGAAGTGTATATTCTGTTATATGTCATGCTGTTTATCATTGGCAGTCCACAGTGACAGCTTCCTGGTGGGATAGTTTATGTGGACTGCTGAACACACCTGAGCTCATCCCCAATGCCAACATTTAAAATATATTTCCAGGGTCACATTTTTTTCTGTGCTTTTGATAAGACATTTTGTGCAACTAAACCCACCAATTTAAAGTGTAATTTTAATTAAATAAATACTTTGTATTTTTTAATGCAGAAGAGACATGCTGTCCTAATGTTTCTGTACAGTGAGCGCATTCAGCTGCCAAGACTCCTGCACGTGGGCAAGATTGATGTCATCTCAGCCAAGCCATTCAGAACAGCGCAAGAGTGGAGATGAGTATAGTTCCAATTTAAAGTGGAATTAAATCCTCCTATCCTGAACAGGCAAGAAAGTATACACCGAACAATTGGAAAATTTTACAGCATTCCTGTTTGAGGGATTCTAATAGTTTACTGCAGCTGCCATAGCTTCTTTAGTGTATTGCTGAATCCTTCTCTCAAACAGAATTTCTCTGCCCTAATACTATCCCACATGCACAGTGCCAGATAACTAGGACTGCATTCCAGGCTGGTAGGGTAACAGATGGAGGGTATCCTCATAACCACAGATCTTGTCTTCAGGTCTTTGACACAAACACAGATGCTACATCATCCTCAGAGGCCCCTGCAATGGGACTCTGCTGCAACATTTATCTGTAGGAATCTCTATAAATAATTATATATCCCCGGATATATCAGGCCCTTTGGTGATAATTCCTGTTTGCACACTGGATGAACAGTATTGTAACAGGCATACTGTCATTAAGTCATGCAGGAAATCCATAGATTATAATGTAAGAGTATTAGTTGTGCAATTTCTCTTTTTGGCCATAAAATGGGAATATGGGGATGCTGACCTTTCCTTCCTGAACATTCAGAAAAAAAAACAAAGCACAATGGGAAGTGAAGTTTGTCAGCAGCATCAGGACATTGTATTTCTGTAGTTGGACTGCATTTCCCAGAGCACAGGTGAGGTTACAGGTGACAGAAGAGAGAGAGGACGTGCTGTGGGGAGCCATTACTGTCTGACACCACACTGCCAAGGGAAGTTGAAGGACAGAGCTGCTGCCAATATACATCCCTCTCTGTGTCAGTCAATGCAGAGCTGTGACCTGTGGACATGGAGAGGGCTTGGTGTGAGGATTTGGGGATGGTCACAGGGGAGTGTGTCTCTCTCTTATTCAAGGCCAGGCTGCGACCCACAACCGTTTAGCACAGTGATCCTGCTCAGCAGCCCAGCACCACCTGGCTCAGCGGGGATGACCTACACCATTGCAGGGATCGCAATATCCTTCCAGATATTGGGTTGGTCGCTGTTCGGTCACCTCGCAAGTTTCGCTACCCACCACCCTGTCAGGAGGTCATCTGGTGCCTCACTACATTGCCAGGAGCCCTAACTAGCATTTGGGATTTTAGTTGTGTCATCTCACAGAGGATTGGTGAGCGGGTGTAAACCCACCATCCTTCTTAGCACAGTACAGACACTGCATGTAGACACCAACTCCCCTTTAACAAGCGTCGGAGGATGCTTGTTTGGAGCTGCCACCTGTCAGGGCTCCAGGGTATGACCAGAGGTATGTGAACTGACGCAGGGAAACGCAGGCTTCAGATAAGTTATAAACAATATAATTTATTAAATACTAACAATACAAACATAAACGCAGTGCAATACTAAAACATAACACAGTGCAAACGAACCAAACCAAACCACCCACAGATAACAGTACATACAATGCAAGCGTCATCAGGCAGGCCGGGTCAATAACAATCGGGCAGGTAGGTACAGGGGGTCAGGCAGAGAGTGGTCGGGGTCACAAGCCAGGGATAAAACAGGAGAAGTCAGCAGAGGTCCGGATCAGGCAGGGTCAGCAACGAATCAGACAGAGACAGGAACAGGGATGCAGGAACAAGGAACAGGGATGCAGGAACAAGATACAGGGCCCAGGAAAAACACACACCAAGGCAGAGACTGCAGGTCTGGCCATCCCTTAAATACACCTGCATAATCAACTTCAGGTGTTCGGCTGGCTGCAGGGTTGAGTCTCTGATTGCTGGGAGCACCCGCTGGCCAGCCCTGGTACTGCAGCCCACAAGGCAGGTGAGTCCCACCATTACTGGCAAGTCCTTTCCTGACACCACCATTTACCTATTTGCCCTAATGAATTACTACCTAATGGAACATCCGAGATGGGTACTGCATAGTTTAAGTTTGTTCAAACCTACACTTAAAACAAGGGCCCCACAGCTTGCTAGCAGAAGACATCAGTACTCTCCACCCTACAGAACTTTGCTACCCTATTGCATTTAAAGGGACCTTTTCCACTAATAGGGTCTAGACTATTGGTATGTATATTCAGATCTTCTGCATATGTGGTATTACTGTATTTGTGTAATTCATTTTTGTTTATCTCTCAACTGTGTTTGTGGCCCAGAGGGAGCTGAAAAGTTGACAGACCTTCTCTCCTCCCCCTTACCGCCTGTGTTATCAGTATATAAATTACAGCCATTTTCTTATACTTATAGTTGCCAAACATGAAAGGTTGTTGTTTCTATTGCATTGATACTCTGCAATAAGGTTTACAGTTGTGTCCAAAATTATTCAACCCCCACTGAAATTGAGTGTTTTGGCCAGTTTGACATTGCTTTTGATCATTCAGTCATCTTGCTTACATTTACATTAAAGAGGCACTTGTAGGTCAGACAAATATAACATAACAGTTATAATGAAATAACCACAAATGTCTTTTCTGTGCTCACAGCATTATCAGTTTTATTCAACCCCCAAGTGACATTCAATCTTAGTACTTAGTACAGCATCCTTTTACAGTTATAAACAGCTTTTAAACGTGAAGCATAGCTTGACACAAGTGTCTTGCAGCGATCTACGGGTATCTTCGCCATTCTTCATGGGCAAAGGCCTCCAGTTCAGTCACATTCTTAGGCTTGCGCACTGCAACTGCTTTCTTTAAGTCCCACCAGAGGTTCTCAATCGGATTTAAGTCTGGTGACTGCGATGGCCACTCCAAAATGTTCCAGCCTTTCCTCTGCAACCATGCTCTAGTGGACTTGGAGGTATGCTTGGGATCATTGTCCTGTTGAAAGGTCCAACGTCTCCCAAGCCTCAGGTGTGTGACGGACTGCATCACGTTTCCATCCAATATCTCCTGGTACTGAAGAGAATTCATGGTACCTTGCACACGCTGAAGCTTCCCTGTACCTGCAGAAGCAAAACAGCCCCAAAGCATGATTGACCCTCCACCATGCTTCACAGTAGGCAAGGTGTTCTTTTTCATCATAGGCCTTGTTCTTCCTCCTCCAAACATAGCGTTGATCCATGGGCCCAAACAGTTCTAATTTTGTTTCATCAGTCCACAGAACACTATCCCACAACTTTTGTGGTTTGTCCACATGGCTTTTGGCATACTGCAGTCGACTCTTCTTATTCTTTGGAGACAGCAAGGGGGTACGCCTGGGAGTTCTGGCACGGAGGCCTTCATTACGCAGTGTGCGTCTTATTGTCTGGGCTGAACTTCTGTACCCACATCTGACAAATCTTTTCTCAGTTCCTCAGCAGTCACACGGGGACTTCTCTCCACTCTACGCTTCAGGTAGCGCACAGCAGTCGAAGTCAGCATCTTCTTTCTGCCACGACCAGGTAGCGTTTTCAACAGTGCCCTTTGCCTTGAATTTGCGAATGATGCTTCCTAAGGTGTCTCTTGGTATGTTTAACATCTTTGCAATCTTCTTATAGCCATTGCCCTTCCTGTGAAGAGAAAATCACCTCTTCTCTTGTCTTCCTGGACCATTCTCTTGCCTTCACCATGTTTGTAACCACACCAGTAAATGTCTAGAAGGAGCTGAGTATCACAGTCATTTTTAAAGCTGCCTAATTGGTGCTTATTATGCTTGATTGCTGCTCGGTGACATCCACAGGTGTTTTCAATACCTGATGGAAAGCACCTGTATGAACCTCTGTTCTTCAGAGTGGTAGTCTTTAAGGGGTTGAATAATTGTGGCAATGAAGAAACCACATAAGAACCATTTACTACTGTATTACATAAACAATTGATGTCATTTTAGTTGCATTTGGGTAGTTACAACGTCCTTGTAGGATTTGATTCTGAATACAATTCCAAATGTACACTATAGTCCCTAAACCCCTTTACAGCATTGGGGGTTGAAATAATTTTGGACACAACTGTATCAGTGCTGTAAATTGCCATATCCTAAACTGTAATAATATATCATTACTAAATGGGTGTGTGTCTGTTTCCCGCCATTACCCACAGACAGGATAAAGGTATTCTCCACTGCTATTCTTATTCGTGTTTGTAGTGCTCTTCATTCAACCAGGTGTGTCAGAGGGGTTGAGGTTGTTCTTGGAGTCAAGGCGCAGAACAGGGAACCTAAAGATTACCAAGCGGCTCCTTCGGGGGTGGCACTATAGTATGTACTGTTATTCATTTTCTTATTTGAAACTTGTATTATTTCTATACTGGTGTGCATTTATTTGCTTACAGTAAATGTTATATGCTGGTTATATAGTTCTTCTGCTTCCAGTTAATTTGATTAGAATATAATAGAATAGAATATATAAGGGATAATTTCCCTGGAAGGGGATCCTCTCTGTTCACGCAGGCCCTATCCTGGGTGGAGGCACTGTCAACTTTATTATCAAACCCACTCTTCTACTTAGCAAAAGTTCTGGTTCTCTTATTTACCTACCGGTTTAGTGGAATATCCTTTTTGTGGTTGAGCGTTTCACATAGGAACACGCAAAAGTGGCCTACAATAGTTTTACTGTTCAGTGCAATAGTGCAGAGTCAGGTTTTGATGCTGCAATCTGTGATGTGCCAGCATTGTCCTCTGACAGCCTACTTATAAAAAAAAAAAAAAGATGCTGCTAATTAAAGTATGCTACTATGTCAACTAATAAGACCTTTAACAAAAGACCTACTTCACATGGCTTGCAGGAAGCTGTGGAATGAATCAGGCAATGGTGACCCAGGACTTGAAGTGGCTGTTAAGTTTCGGCAGAGCTGCAGAAGCAGATTTTTCTAGCTCTAGTCTACAATACAGTAGAAGAATAAAGTAACAGGGATAGAATGCTAATAACAGGAGTCCCACACTGATACACAGTAAACAGTGCCTATGTCACTAGGATCACTCATCAGGGCCAAGGTGGCAGGGGGCACAGAAGGGCAAAAATAGGAAATCCGTCCATCTGAATCTCTCCCTGGCATCTTAGTGCAAGAATGCTTGAAACAGATTAACCACTTGCCATCCGCCCTATAGCAGAAGTACTGCTACAGGGCGGCACGGTTGCACAAATCATGTATATATACATGGTTTGCATTTCTGCACCAATATTGACGGCTGGGGATGTACATCACTCGGTGATCGTCGACAAAGTTGACAGGGGAGACACCTGTGTGATAACAACACAGGTCTTTCTCCTGTCAGCATGAACATGCTGCTTTGTGTCTCTCTGTACAGCAGAGAGATACAAAGCAGCACTTCTCGCAAGTAAAACAGCACACAATGTAAAACACACACAGCATACAGTTAACCCTTTGATCGCCCCAGATGTATGTTAACCCCTTCCTGCCCAGTGTCATTAGACAGTTTCAGTGCTTTCTCTATTAACACTGGTTACTGTATTAGTGTCACTGGGGATGTAAGTGGCAGTTACTCAGTTTCAACCCAGTGTCAGAATGTCCACCACTGTCCCACAGTCCTGCTATAAGTCGTTGATCGCCGCCATTACTAGTATATATATACAGTACCTCCATTTGTAGACTCTATAACTTTCATATAAACCAATTAATATACAATTATTGAGAATTTTTTTTTTTTAGCAAAGACATGTATCAGAATACATTTTGGCCAAAATGTATGAAGAAAGTTGATTTTGTACATTTTTTATTGGATGTTTTAAACACAAAGTCAGAAATATTGTTTTTTTTTTAAATTGTCTGTATTTTTTTATTTATAGCACAAAAAATAAAAAATGCAGACATGATCAAATACCACTGAAAGAAAGCTGTATTTGTGGGAAAACAAATACATAAATTTCATTTATGTACAGTGTCGCCTGACCTCACAATTGTCAGTTAAAGTAACGCAGCGCCTTATCACAAAAAATGGCCTAGTCAGGAAGGGGGGTAAACCCTCTGGAGGGCAAGTGATTAATTGCAGATCAGAAGGATCATTCAGAATTTACTGATAGGTTCTACACCTTGCACCGTGCTTGGTGTGCTACCATGTACTGCGGTAACATACACATTACTGCAACATAATGGAGTGAACAGGCCCTAGGCTCAATTCACTATACTGAAACACCTAGTTAAAGATCCTTATTTTCAAATAGTGACAGTTCTTTTCATCTGAGTTCAGTAGAATTTGATCATTATCTTGTATAAAGCTTTGTGACTTGAGCCTATGACTATTTTTATAACTAATAAGGAATGCTTTCCTCACAGCAGGGATATCTTGTCAGAGGCTCAGATCTTAAAATAACCGCAGAAGATCTGGCCGGGACAGAGCCTGTATTTCTAGGACAATCAAGCTGCAGGTGTCAGGAAGGGATGTATTTCATGTTGGAAGTTCCCGTGTTGCTGAATGCAAGTAACCTGTTATTTGTAGAATGTAGGTGACATGTCTGAACTGTATAAAGTTACAGACTCCCTATTGATAAGCAATGCTAGAGCTGCCTGCAAGAAGGAACTTCTCATATCAGAAGGAGTGACTTGTTGCATCAACATTTCCAGGAGGCAGCCATTCCCGGACTATAATCTTCACACTCTTCGGATTCCTGTGTTTGATCACCCACTGGAGAACCTGTCTGAACATTTTGACCAATGTGTAGATCTGATAGACAGCACTGTTCGCAGCGGGGGGAAGTGCCTGGTCTATTGTAAGCATGGACGTAGTCGATCAGCTACAATCTGTATTGCATACTTGATGAGATGCAAAAACATGACCCTGGTGGAAGCCTTCCAGGTATACCAGTCTCATGTATTTGTCTTTTGTTTGAATATAATTCCATCATGTTAAGCCCACTAACTATACAGTATGTGTTTGCAGTAATATACATGTAGCTCCCACAGTATGCATGTAATCTTTTGGAATGACAGGGATTCTTTTTGGACCCAAATCCTTCTATAGCCTTTTGTTCTCAGTTGTTCCTGTATAAGATCTCATGTATAAATTGCTATAAATAAGTGTACTTTAAACTACTGAAAGAGTATACATTGGCATCCTGGGCCATATTTCTGCATAACCAACATAAGCCATGGCTTCAGGGAGCAGAACATGCCCACACATCATGTTGTTGACTGTTCATTATACATTCTTGTGTATTAAAGGGTGCCAGACCGCCATCTTGCCTGCCAGTAACTTTTGGTTGGGTCCTTTTTGTTGTCCCTGAACAGTTTTTTGTTGGTGTACTGTATTGTTGCCTAGATTTCAACCTCTATAGGTCTGTATACCTAGAGCTGAACTACTAAGGTGACAGCTTGCCTCTTCTTTTATCCATTGCTTCTGAGGCACAGTGCATAAACTTTCTTTTTCATCCCAGCCTCGGCTATGACATCTGATCTTATGTTATACTATTAGAACAACCCTGTCCCTATACAAAATATTTACAAGCAAGCCCTGCCTGTAAAAGAAGATAGTGCATACCAGGGGCAGACTGACAACTCATGGGGCCCCCGGGCAATAGGGGATCATGGGGTCCCTGTGTCCTTTCCCAAACTCAAAAAAGCCTATGAAAAAGGTACCAGGGGCATCTCATGGGGCCCCCTACTGACCCTGGGCCCTCGGACAGTGCCCGAGTTTCCAAATGGTCAGTCCGCCCTTGGTGCATACCCATCTTTCCTGCTGTCTGTTCCACCAAACTCTGCACCAATGCTGAGAAATCTTATGTTGAAGTGCGCCTTTAAACTGACCCTTCCAAAGGCAGTATTCTTCTTGGTGTATAACCACCATATACCTTCCTTCCATTCCATAAAAAAAAATATCTGTCACTCACAATCCAGCGCTGGGTGTAGAAGTGCCAATTGCCAGACCCAAGTGCTGTCTCACAGGGATGAGTACATGACCACTGGATGTGCTGGAGGCGGACAGGAGCTGCAGTAGGTCTAGTCATGCTGCTTTTAGAGTAAAATTAACCTTTTAATATGCCCAGTATGAGCACATTACCTGTTTCTTCCTATTGATGGAAATATGACAGTGGGCTATGGGAAAGGAAACCTGTTCATAAAAAAGAATCTTGGACTAAAATGTGTCTTTGTCTATCATCTTAAGTTGATAGGCATGATGTTGATGATTCATGATTCAGTGACATTAAACTTCTTTTAGATGACAAACAATAATATTTATTCAAATGGAATGGTTTTCAACATCAATTTTTTCTTGCCATAGGGTCTGAGGGCCCACTCACTCCAGAACATGCAGGAAACCCACATTCCAAACGCACTATGTGATCTGCTACGGATCTCAGTAGCTTCCTAATGCCACTCCTGATGCAGTGCATTTCCCTGCACCAGATTGTATGGTACCACAGTGCATTTTTAAAAGTAGTGCTTGCACTATTTTTGGTGCAAATCAGTGCAATTTCAGCCCATTCAAATTAATTATATTCAAATTGCAGCACATTGAAAATCGAGTATCTATATACTCGTCCCCAACATAAATGTAAATAAAGAATCCCCCTATGGGAGTTTAATGCAGCAACCATATAATTGCACATATACTCAAAATACATTTTTTAAAACATATACTTTATTACATGGACATATTTGTGAAAGATACATTATCTTTAAAAACATTAGCTCTGATAGATATTGCAAGGATATTTCCTTCACATTATAACAAAATTCCAAAAAGTTACCCCAATCATTTAATTTCAGTGTCCACATTTTTCAGTTTATTTGGCACATGTTTAAACTAACTTGCACTTTGCTTGTAATGTGATTAAAGGTTGTGTTGCATTAAATGTTAACAAAATACAACATGTTTCTGTTGGTCTATCCATGATAGCAGGGGCGGACTGACAACTCATGGGGCCCCCGGGCAGTAAGAGATAATGTGGCCCCCTGTGCCCCCACCTACACTGAAGCACACCCACACAGCACCCTACCTACATATTGCAGCTCAGCTGCATAGAAGGGGAATTTACAGTCAGGTCCATAAATATTGGGACATCGACACAATTCTAACATTTTTGGCTCTATACACCACCACAATGGATTTGAAATGAAACAAACAAGATGTGCTTCAACTGCAGACTGTCAGCTTTAATGTGAGGGTATTTACATCCAAATCAGGTGAACGGTGTAGGAATTACAACAGTGTGCATATGTGCCTCCCACTTGTTAAGGGACCAAAAGTAATGAGACAGAATAATAATCATAAATCAAACTTTCACTTTTTAATACTTGGTTGCAAATCCTTTGCAGTCAATTACAGCCTGGAACACATCCCTGGTGATGCTCTACCAGGCCTCTACTGCAACTGTCTTCAGTTCCTGCTTGTTCTTGGGGCATTTTCCCTTCAGTTTTGTCTTCAGCAAGTGAAATGCATGCTCAATCGGATTCAGGTCAGGTGATTGACTTGGCCATTGCATAACATTCCACTTCTTTCCCTTAAAAAACTCTTTGGTTGCTTTTGCAGTATGCTTTGGGTCATTGTCCATCTGCACTGTGAAGCGGCGTCCAATTAGTTCTGAAGCATTTGGCTGAATATGAGCAGATAATATTGCCCGAAACACTTCAGAATTCATCCTGCTGCTTTTGTCAGCAGTCACATCATTTATAAATACAAGAGAACCAGTTCCATTGGCAGCCATACATGCCCACGCCATGACACTACCACCACCATGCTTCACTGATGAGGTGGTATGCTTAGGATCATGAGCAGTTCCTTTCCTTCTCCATACACTTCTCTTCCCATCACTCTGGTACAAGTTGATCTTGGTCTCATCTGTCCATAGGATGTTGTTCCAGAACTGTGAAGGCTTTTTTAGATGTTGTTTGGCAAACTCTAATCTGGCCTTCCTGTTTTTGAGGCTCACCAATGGTTTACATCTTGTGGTGAACCCTCTGTATTCACTCTGGTGAAGTCTTCTCTTGATTGTTGACTTTGACACACATACACCTACTTCCTGGAGAGTGTTCTTGATCTGGCCAACTGTTGTGAAGGGTGTTTTCTTCAGCAGGGAAAGAATTCTTCGGTCATCCACCACAGTTGTTTTCCGTGGTCTTCCGGGTCTTTTGGTGTTGCTGAGCTCTCCGGTGCGTTCCTTCTTTTTAAGAATGTTCCAAACAGTTGTTTTGGCCACGCCTAATGTTTTTGCTATCTCTCTGATGGGTTTGTTTTGTTTTTTCAGCCTAATGGTGGCTTGCTTCACTGATAGTGACAGCTCTTTGGATCTCATCTTGAGAGTTGACAGCAACAGATTACAAATGCAAATAGCACACTTGAAATGGACGCTGGACCTTTTATCTGCTCATTGTAACTGGGATAATGAGGGAATAACACACACCTGGCCATGGAACAGCTGAGAAGCCAATTGTCCCATTACTTTTGGTCCCTTAACAAGTGGGAGGCATATATGCAAACTGTTGTAATTCCTACACCGTTCACCTGATTTGGATGTAAATACCCTAAAAAATGGATGGAGGAAGGAATGAAGGAAGGGGAGGGAGGAAGGAAGAAAAAGGAGGGAGGAAATGGAGGAAGGAAGGAAGGAAGGGGATGGAGGAAGGAAGAAAAGAGAGGGAGGGAATGGATGGAGGAAGGAAGGAAATGGATGGAGGAAGGAAGGAAGAAAAGGGAGGGAGGGAGGGAATGGATGAAGGAAGGAAGGAAAGAAGGGAGTGAAGGAAGTAAGAAAAGGGAGGGAGGGAATGGATGAAGGAAGGAATGAAGGAGAGGGAGGGAATGAAAGAAGAAAGGAAGGGAGGAAGGAAGGAAATGAAAGGAGGAGAGGGATGAAAGAATGAAGGGAGGGGATGGAGGAAGGAAGAAAAGGGAGGGAGAGAGGGAATGGATGGAGGAAGGAAGGAATGGATGGAGGAAGGGATGAAGGAAGGGGAGGGAAAGAAGGAATGAAGGAAGGAAGAAGTGGAGGGAGGACGGAAGGAAGAAAAGGGAATCAATAGAGAAAGGAAGGAAGGAGGGGTAGAGAAGGGAAGAGAGAAAAGGGAGGGAGGGAATGGATGGAGGAAAGAATGAAGGATATCAAAGGAGGGGAGGGAGGAAAGAATTAAGGGAGGGGATGAAGGGAGGGAGGAAGGGAGAATGGAAGAAAGTATTAAAGGAAGGGGAGGAGAGGGGGAAAGAAGGAAGGAGTGATTGAAAGATGAGGAGGAAGGTAAGGAAAAAATGAAGGGATGGGATAGAGGAAGGAATGAAGGTAAGGAAGAAAAGGGAGGGAGGGAATGGAGGAAGGAAGGAAAAAAGAAAATGGATGGAGGAAGGAAGGAAGAAAAGGGAGGGAGGGAGGGAGGGAGGGAATGGATGAAGGAAGGAAGGAAAGAAAAAATGGTGGGATGAAATAGATAAAGGAAGGAAAGAGGGGAGGGAGGGAGAATGAAAGGAAGTAAGGGAAAGAGGGAGGGAAGGAAGGAAAGAATGAAGGGAGGGCATAGAGGAAGGAAGAAAAGGGAGGGAGGGAATGGATGGAGGAAGGAAGGAAATGGATGGAGAAAAGAATGAAGGAAAAGAAAGGAAGGAGGGGGAGGGAGGGAGGAAGAAAGGAAATGAAAGGAGGGGAGGGAGGGAGGGAGGCAGGAAGAAAGGAAGGATATGAAAGGAAGGGAGGAGGAAAGAATGAAGGAAGGGAATGAAGGGAGGGAGGAAGGGAGAAAGGAAGGAATGATTGAAGGACGAGGAGGAAGGGAAGGAAAAAATTAAGGGAGGGGATAGAGGAAGGAATGAAGGTAAGGAAGAAAAGGGAGGGAGGGAATGGAGGAAGGAAGGAAGGAAGAAAATGGATGGAGGACAGAAGGAAGGGGAGGGAAGAAAGGGGAGGAAGGAAGGAATGAAGGAAG